AAAGGTGAACTTTGACCTTTCGGTTAGTGTGTGACCCGGGAAGAAAAAAAGAAAAAGAAACGCCAGTGACGTGTGCACGTCGGCGGCTACGCTAACGTGAGAGCGCGACACCGAGGGAGAAGACACCAAACCCTACGCCACAACCAAAGGAAACGCGGGAAAGAAACAGCGAGTCACGACGCGTGAGGGCGAGCGGGTCGGCAACGAAGAAGAACGCAGGAAGTCTACGCAGCGGTAGAAAAATACACATTACAAAGGTGAGAGCGAGCTGGCAGCCATTTTGGCGATGAAGTTAGAGGAAAGTAAGTGCCCGTAAAGCTACGTCAGCAGGCATTGGTCGGACAAGTCGTCACAGACGGCGTGACGGAAACGCCTCGCTGCTGAGGATTTCTCGCCGCTGACAGACATGGAAGGTTACGCTGCGTCAAGCGTCGACACCGGTGCTGGTGACAAATACACAACTTCATTATTTTCAACAAAACAGCAACAACTACTCGTCTTCCTCTGAAGAAGCTCCGCCTCTGTGCCGACGACTCCTCCCACCGTTACTACGCCGCCACTTTGTCGTCCTTCTGCAAGAAAAACAGGAACAAACGCCAACGTTAGCGCCGAGAGGCGACGTCGGACTTTAAGGTCAGAAGGACAGGGGCGGAGCTCCTACTTCCTCTAGCCCCGCCCCCTGAGCCTTCACTGTCTCGAAGTTAAAACACAACAACGTGACCTCACCCGGTACGCCGACAGGTCGGCGAACTCCCGGCCGGCCTGGTTTCCTCTGTATCCTCCCCTGTAGCCGCCACCGCCTCCCTGCGGCGGCCCAAAGGAGCCCCGGCTGGCCGGGCGACCCCGCCCACCGCGATAACCTGTGCCGCCACGGCCACGGTAGCCCTGGCGTCCTCGGCCCTGACGCAGCGGGATGCCGAAGGTTTCAGCGTTCATCCGCCGCTCCTCCGCCCACGTTTGCCTCCGCTCCCTGCGAGAGAAACGAGGCGGTGAGACGCAGCACGCTACAAACAGGAAGTGGTCGGGCTATGGTTAAAGCGACTCACCTCGGGAAGCCCGACCCTCCAGACCGCTCGCTCGTCTTCCTGCCGGACAGAAAACATTTCAGTTGTTAGTGACCGCCCCCCCATCAGTGTACAGAAGCCACGCCCACACCGACAGCACGCGTACCTCGTGTCGTCGCAGGAGATGTTGTCGAAGAACGACTTGGACTTGTCGTAGTAGCAGTTGGGCCCGAGCGGGTCGCACTCTTCGTCGGCGTTGCTCTCGCTATTCTGCGTCTCCACGCCAGAGTCGCCTTTATCCTCGCCGTTGAGCGCCTTCTCGTCTGCGTGGCGAACAACAGAAACAGGACACGCTCAGACGAACGTTACGCTTAACGCCGCATTTCCCGCTGTCGGCGACCTCACCTCGGAGCTTCAGCTTGCTCTGGAACTCGCGCTCCAGCTCCTCCTTGTTGAACTGCGCGTTGGCGCTCTCGAAGTCAAAGTCCTTCTCGAACTTCATCGGGCCGTCCCGGCGCACATTGAAGCGTCCTCTGCCGCGGTGACCGCCTCCTCTGCCGCGTCTGTTAGACGGAGCACCGGCGGCAGCTGAAGAATAGAGGGAGGACATTAGTTACCGTGGTAACTAGAGGGGGAGACGAGGACGTGAACTGAGGCGCATCCACGATGACGGACGACCTCGCGGCACTTAGAGGTAATGTCACATGTTAGCAATCACACATGCAGGTAACAGGAAGTCAGGTGACGCTCAACTGACTTCCTGTTACCTGATAGGACAGCGTGAGGATGGACATCACGCTCTGATTGGCTCATACTGTAAACACAGAGCGGCATCTACAGGCCAGCCTCCCTCACAGCCTCACCTCTCCTCGTGTCCACGCTGTCCTGCGAGTGCTGCGCCCTCTGGCTGCTCTGTCCTGAGGCGGCTGTGCGGCCATGGGCGGGGCTTCTGCGTCCCAGGCCGGGAGCCGGTGCAGTAGCGGTAGTGGCTGAGGCGGCGGCGCTGACTGCCTGATCCAGGACCGGACTCTTCCTCAGAGGGTCCAGGTTACCTGGGCTGGTTCGACCTGCAGAAAGGTCACAGTTAGCGCGGCGCTAATCGATCATCAACGATCACGCCGAGAGGAAGTCGCATCACAGAAACTGAGCAGGGCGTGTAGGTGTTCCTCACTTCCTGCTTCAGCACTGCAGGAGGACAGGAAGTGACTCATACAACTCTTCAGCATCACACGGTGGCGAAGCAGCGCAGGAATTTGTGCTGACCCGTGATTGCACAATAAAGCAAAAACACTAAGTTCTTATAACAACTGGCGAGCAGACAAAGCGCTGCGAGCGGCAGCTTCAACATCACAGCTGACTGGACCGCGTGGAGGTCATGTGGAGCAGGAAATGAAGGCCTTGATGGCTCAGTCACGCCAACGCCACAAACCACCCCTGCTCGCTTCCTGTGGCATGAGTTACGTGGCATAAGGGTCACAGACAGACCCTCAACCCTTGGATTTCATGCCGGCGAGAACCCCCCACCCCCCCGCTTACCTGCAGCACCAATCTGCGGCGACACCAACGGGCTGCTGTTGAACTGGCTGTAGGCGGGGACCGGGGCGCGGCTGAAGAGGCCGTAGGAACCGGCAGACTGGAATGGGGTTGGCGCCGCGGCGGACGAGGAGCTGGAGCTCATAGATGACTGCAGGAGGAGGAAGAAAGGTTAAAGGTCACATCAGCTCCTCGTTTCATTTCTCGCAGAAAACTGAAACAGGAAGCCTAATTTGTCCCTTTCACAGTAAAGGTCCTGTGATAGCAGAGGGGACAGATTAAAATAAAGCTCTCTCACACATAGCTCAGCTTACAGGAAGTGGTGGAAATAATATTTCAACATAAGACGGACTGGAAGTGGATCGGTCAGGACCCTCAGGTCAGAGGGGCCAAGTCCAATCAGACGGCCCACAGGCCAAACACGACCTTGGCGTACCTGGACGATGGCAGGGTCCTGGGGCAGCGAGCAGGTGGGTTTGGGTGGCTCGCACACGGTCAGGTCCTTGATGTCGCTGCCTCTGAAGATGATGTACTCAAACGTGTCATCCCGAGGCGGAATTGGCCGGTCGGTGGGCCGGTCTTCAGTGCCGAACGAACGAACTGTCAGAGGAGGAAACAAAGTGCTGCTAGAATCACAGGTCAAAGGGCAAACAGGGTTCAAACCACCCCTCTTAAATTCACCCTAATGGAGCACCAAATGCCAATTAGAGCAGAACAGTAGTCTAGGTGATGCCCCTACTACAGAGAGGAGAGCATTGGGTGACCTAGTTATTGATCATTATCAGATGTCAGGCACTTAATGGCGGTCAGAGGAGCTGTGGTCTGAGCTGGGAGGAGACCGGACACATCTCCTCTCAGAGGCTCTGAGAAATCTAAGGAAACACATACATACAACCCTCACTCTGCTGTGTTGTTTTGTTCCTGCGCTGTCACAGGTCACGTGACACCGTGCTTCACTCGCACAACATAACTCTTGGACATACCACCACAAAACCACGCGATCCACTATACTACTTGTCCCGGCTCCGCCTGCACCGGTCTGTGACGTGCACTCAGTGACGTCAGAGAGTGCGGCGAGCAGGTGAGGCTGACCGGAAACGAGCCTGGTGTCGGCTTCCTCTACTGGCTAGCGTTAGCCGGTTAGGTGAATCACCTGTTACTCTACCTGCGCACAGAGAGCTGGTGTGAGCCGTCACAGCAGTTTAGCCTCCCTTTATCCGCTTGAACCCGAATAAGTCGGTGCAGTTTCATGCTAGCTCGGCAGAACACGCTTTTGTGACGAATGTTAGCATGATAGTGTTAGCCAAGCTAACCGTGTTTTCCAATGGGTTTAATTTAGCGTGCTAAGCTCGGCTAAAACTGCTAATCACCGTTGTTTACTCCCGCGCAGCCGCAGCTCAGCAACACAAACAAAGCTTAAACCGAGCAAGAGCATAGCCGCGAGCCCCCCACTCACGCGGCAGTGCTACCTTTAGCCAGCGCCACTGTCGAGTTCTCGGTGTCGATGGTGTAGAGGATGCCTTCGTAGCGGATCTCGGCCTTGGAGATCAGGCTGATCTTGCTGCCGAGGTAGGGGGTCCCGCCGCTCATGGTGCTGTCCGTGACTGGGAGCTTCTAGCAGAGAAACGGACAGGCGCCTTGTGTGAAGTACACGCGAAACAGAAACGATCCTCCGGGGGGGTCTGTGTCTGCTGACTCTACTGCGCTCCGCGGCTACAACATGGCTACCTGCTCCTCCATCTGAGGCTCTGAGCGCGGGGGCTAACGATACTACCCAGCATCGCGATATTTCACTGCTTCGTCAGCTGTAGATCTGAGGATGATAGAAGAGACGGCAGCTGCTGGCCCTCGTATGGAACAATAGAACTACTCTACCATAGCACCATACCAAACAACACGTTTAATCAAAGGACCAATTTTGTTTTCTTGATCCTTTATTAATATTCTTTTATTTATTCACCATCCAATGTTTGTCTGAAGCGTGGTCAGTTTCCACCTTCTCCTGGGAGCTCTTCCCAGGTCAGATGTCTTTAACCTCTAGGAAATATCCTCCCGAACTATCTCAGCTCCCCCCGGAGCTCCTCGCCCACCTCTAAAAAACGGAAGCTTTAGAGCTGGAAGCAGGAAGGGCCGCGTGGATCTGTTGAAGTGGTGGATTGTGACAGTTCACAGATGTAAACATGTGTGGAATACAATCAGCAGGATTTATTGACAAGAGTATTGAGAAATCTGATTGATAGATAGAATCTGATCAGGTTTCTCCTGGATCCTTTTGTTTTCTTTTACTCCACTTTTGTTTTTACGGGTTATATACGAAGCCTCTTTGTCCTCGTTGGCTGAATTGAACGGAACTGAACCTGTGTTCAAATAAAGTTTTGAGTGGCTGGACTCTGCCCTCACCTGCGAACTCACCTGTACACAAAGAGCTGCGGCTCTAATGGAAAATCTGCCTCTCCTATCTCTATGCTCGGAAGCGAGCCGGATCCTCGGCGCATGCGTACATTCTAAAATACGATTTGCACAACGGTCCAGCATCAAAGATGGCGGGAGCCTCCGACCCACTGGAGGACATGCTCTTCAATGAGGTGGACGAGAAGGCGGTGAGCGACCTGGTCGGTTCTCTGGAATCTCAGCTAGGCGACCGAAAGCCTCCCGCGCCTCCGTTTTCCGCCGGGAAACGAGACGCGGCTCCGTCGGCCGCGGGCCACTTCTCAGGGAAAGTGCGCGGAGCGGAGTCCGCGGAGCAGCCGCAACAAGGACATCCCGGAGCGGTGCTGACCCCGGAGCCCGCCGCAAGCGAGCCGCCGTCCGCCGCACCGCTGCCCTCGTCTACCTCCGCCGGGCCCGCGGGAGCCAGCCTGGCCGCGGTCGGACCGCCTCCGCCCGCCGGTTCTCCGGGACCGGGACCTCTCGGCGCTCCGGCCGCCGGCGCTAGCTTCCCCCGGGCTGCGGTCCCGGGTCCGAGCGCTGCGGAGGCGGTCAGGAGCTCTCCCCCCGGACTGCAGAGCGTGAACGGCGGTACCGGAGCCGCCAAGTTGGTGAGCTCTCCCGGTGTTCCTGCGACCGCCGGGGCCGGCCCCGCGACTTCACAGCCCGGCTTCCCCGTACCTCAGCCCTCCGGGGGCTCCCCCTCCGCGGTCCTGCAGAGGCTCCCCAGCCCGGCGGCCCAGAACGGGCTCGACCCGCAGGGCGGCCCGCCGGCAGCCCCCGCCGCCTCCGCCTCTCAGGTCGTGAACCACAGCAACCCTCTCATGCACGCCAAGGTGCTCGTGCCCAGCCAGCCCGCCACCGGAAGCTCGGTCATCCTGACCGGCACCCCCTCCCCGGTCCAGGCCCCCATCAGCCACCCTCAGACCGGGACCAGCACGTCACCCTCCCCCGGGGCTAAACCCGCAGTCAACGGAGTGTCCCAGCCCACCGTGGCCGTGGTGAGGCCGCCCGGACCGGCCGTGGTGGCCACCTCCATCCCGCAGCAGAGACCCGGGCTGGTGGCCGCCACCACCCGGGTCGCTACTTCGCAACCCTCGCTGGCTGTCCGGCCCCAGCAGCAGACCACCATCCAGCTGCCCCAGGGCTTCACCATGCCCCAAGGTG